ATTTCATACCTGTTCTGTTCCCTCGATGAACTGTAATAGTGAATTTGAGATTTAACATTCATGGATGAAAATAGACTACAGGTCTACAATCCTATAATCCCCAAAGCTTTGAGACCCAAAAGCTTCTTAATTCATGTGGTGCTTTCAGTTCTGGACCTCTGAGCTGCAGTGGTCTCAGTGGAACACCCCGACAGAAAGATGGAGTCTCTTTGGAACCTGCAGGGGAAAACCCACAGTGTTCCAGGAGGGTGGCTGAGGTCTCTGCGCTCAACTTAGTGGCTGAGCTCTTCTGACTGTGCATGAGACAGAGAACTGGACAGAACCGGGGAGCACTTTCTGCCTAGTTGTAGCCTCTCAAAGTGCTTAGGAAGCTAAGAGTCTGAGAGGCATGGCTGGAAAGCTTACTTTGCTTCTCTTTAGAGGATCCTTTACCAATCTGGCTGGCTTCCCACCCATCCTTTTCTCCAGCATCTTTCAGACAAGCAGGGACATTTTGGTACCCACTGTCTTCCTTGTGTAAATTCTTCCTCTTTGTTAGGGGAAGGTCACGTCTGTCATGATGACATAGAACTTTCTGATAAGCAGGCAGAAGCCTGGGTGACATGAACACATGTAAGATATGAAAAGGTAGAAGCTAAACTCCTTTCTGCTTTAGGATATTGAAATGAGCATATGAAAATGCTTATGTCTGTTATAACCCATGTCCTGAGCCAAACCTCCAGGATTTTAACATAACTTATTACTTTTGATAGCTTGTGTATTACAACTAAATCCAGAGTCCAGAGCGACCATGAACTATATATTAGTCTTAGCATGTTATTTGCCAGGCTTTAGTCCCAAGACAGCTTAAATGTCTACAAAATCCATCACACTGGCCTCATTTTTGAGGAAGTTCTCTCCCACAGGCCTAATTCTGGAGTTTGTTTTTTATTTTGTTTATTTGGTTTTTTTTTTTCAATCTTCTTAATCTTTCTCCAAGTCTGATGGCATGCTCATCATCCTCACTATATAGAGTTCAAATGTAATGTTTTTGGCTCATTTTGACTTACCCTTCATAATGAAAGCCCTAAAAATGTCAGTCTTTTAGGCTTTACTGTATTATAACTGCAATGAACGATCCTTTCTAAGTATGTTTCATTCTGTATTCTCTGATTGTGAACTCCTTTTTCTAATAAAGTCCTCAAAGTGGATTCCTGCCATTCCCATCGTCCTCAGAGTCGCAAGGGTATAGAGCGGAAGCCAATGGCCCCTGGAACTTGGAGAATATGGAGAATATTCTGTGATCACAGTGGCAATGGGAGGGAGGGAGGGGGCTGCCAGGTACATCACTCTTGGCTTATTGGTCTTAAAAACAAACAACTGATGCTCACCTCTTATTCTCTTTGTAACTCCCTAGGATTTTTTATTCAATAAAATATTTATAGAATGAATAAGCATTATGAAATATTGGTAGGAAATATCAAGTTATATTGCTCTGTAGCTAAGTTCTAGCTTGCTAAGCGTTTAAGAGCTGAAAGGTTCATAGAGTTTTAAAAGCAATATATGTAGTACCTGAAGGTAACCACAGCTGTGTAGTAATCTTGACTTGAGCTAATTTTTAATCTCTTTGGGAATTAGCCACAAAGTGCAGAATTCTCCCCGACAGCAGGGCGCGGTTGACACTCGGGACCAACTAGAGCATTGTGTGTTTCACACAAGAGTTCCAGTCTGTGCTTGCCTCTGCCCTGTGCTTGCCTCTCCTATGCCAGCATGCCCCAGCTGCAAATGCTGAGAGGTAGCAGGAAATCTGAAGGCTTTCTGCTTGCAACCACCCTCCCCCAGCAAATCTGCATGCACCCCAGGCCTTGTGCTGGGTTTTATAAGTCTATGCAGTGTATTTGAGGGAGGCCTTTAAGGGACAAGAGCTGCACCTTTTATCACAAAGTAATCTGGTCCTGCAGAAGGATAGAAGTACTCATGATAGAAGCACCCAAACTGTCCTGGCTCTGGAGTGCCTCCATGAAAAGTCTTAGTTCACACCTCCGTAAATGGTATGTCCATAATGAGCCAAAGCAACTGAGTTCCAGAAAGCAGAATCAGGTCTGTGGCTCTAGATTGCTCTCCTTTGCCTCATCACTGAGTTAAGATTGGCACCCTGTTGCCTTCCAAGCTTTCATGGTGCTTTTGACCTGTCTTTGGAGATAGTTTGTAATCACGTGTTTTCCGAAGGAAACCTCAATTTTAAGATGAGGAACCATTATCAACACATCATTTCTGCCCCCTTTTTTGCCGCCCTCACAAGTCCTTTGCTCTTTCTTGTTTGTGATAGCAGTGTCACTCCTGAACAAAGCTGTGGATGTGGCCAGGAAATGCTATTAATGGATTAGGGTTGTCTGCATGTTGTTGGCAACACACACAGTTTATGCAAAGAAGAGTCCAGAGGTCTTGCGATGGCCCCTTGTGTTTCTGACCTGGCTAGTTTCATTACTCTTGGACTGATTCCATTGGCCCAAGATCATTATTGTAGCCACCATGTCCAATTTTTTAGACGTATGTAGTTATGTGTGTCTATGTATGCACATATGTGCCATAGCGTGCATAGGAGGTCAGAGGACAGACATAGGAATTAGTTCTTCCTACCCTATAGGTTCTAGGAATAAAACTTATGTCCCAAGGTTGGTAGCAAGTGCCATTTCCCGCTGAGCCATTTCAACTCTGGGTCCTGGAAGTAAAAAGGATGAAAGGGAAGGAGAATGAGTTCCCTATTCTTTTAGAGATATAGCCATGCATCACATGATGAGCGAGAGAAGTCCTAAGGACTTATTCATTGTTCCTTTACTTAAACACACAATGATGTTGTCTTAGTTACTGTCCTGGTACTGTGATGAGATACCATGACCAGACCAACTTATAAAAGACAGTACTTAACTGGGGGGGCTTGCTTAAGTGTGTGTGGGGGCTTGTCTATGACCATCATGGTAGCATGGCATCTGGCAGACAGGTGTGTGCTGTGGAATAATGCTTTTGTACACTGGTTTAATAAAACGCTGATTGGCCAGTAGCCAGGTAGGAAGTATAGGTGGGATAAGCAGACAAGGAGAATTCTGGGAAGAGAAAGGCTGAGCCAAGAAAAGCCAGCCTGCTGTCCAGGGAGCAGCATGTAATGACACACAGGTAAAGCCATGGAATATGTAGTGACATATAGATTAACAGAAATGGGCTGAGTTTAAATGTAAGAGTTAGTCAGTAGTAAGCCTGAGCTAATGGCTGAGCAGTTTTAATTAATAAAAGCCTCTGTGTGTTTACCTGGGTCCAAGTGGCTGTGGACCGAGTGGGACACAGGAAAACTTTCAGCTATAGGCATGGCACTGGGCCAGTAGCTGAGAGCTTCCATCCTGACCCATCTGCAGACATCAGGTAGAGAGAGGGTGGGGAAGACTGGCATTGGGCTTGGTGTGGGATTTTGAAGCTTCCTAATCCTTCCCACACAGTTCCACTAACTGGGGACCAAACGTGAAAATTTATGAGCTGATGGGGTTCATTCTCATTCAAACCACCATAGTGGTTTAGGGAACTTCATTCCTAGACTCTGTGGGCTAGCCTGTTGATTCTAGCCTCCTGTACACAGCATGGTACTTGCACTAAGTACTGTAGGCAGCTGTAGCACAGTGGCAAGTATGTGTGTGTCCAAATACATCTAAACGTGGAAAAGGTACAGAAAATATATCTATAAGATTAAAATGGTGCCTCCGTATAGGATGATTATCACAGATGGACTTGCAGGGCTGGAAGTTGCTCTGAGTGAGCCCGTGAGTGAATAGTAAGTGAAAGTCAAGGCCTAGGACATTGCCATTACTTTAGAAACACCGTATGCTTAGTGGGCCTTCAATTTAGAAAAAGTTTATAAAAATATTTCTGTCTCCAATGATGAATTATCCTTATTATTCTTTTTAAACATTAAAAATTTTTGTGTTCGTTTCCTTCCACCATGGGTTCCAGGGCTTGAACCCAGGTGGTCAGGCTTGGCAGCAAGCACCTTTAACCACTGAGCCAGCTCACTGGCCCATTTTTTAAAAATTTAAACTCTGATAACAGCTTAAAACACATGCTGTGCAGCTACACAAAAATATTTTCTTTATATGCTTACTCTATAAGCTTTTCTCGTGTGTGTGTGTGTGTGTGTGAAAGCTTTTCCTAAGAACTAACACATAAACCCACACCTTCTCCTAGGCCTAGAGAGGGTCGGGCCCGCCAGTATCTTACCCTATGGGCACTAATGTGCATGCAGCTCTTCCCTACAACAGAAAGGCCTTTTGGACTCTCTCCTGAAGGAGGGGACTAGAGCTCTCTCTGGGGCAGGTTCTTCCTTCCTTCACAAGTGACAGAAGTACGCCCATGGTGGCTTGGTTGCTCTGTATCTTCTTTTCAGTCAGACAATTCTCTATGAGCATCCCTGTCTGTCAGTGAGGACATCTTGGGGTTGGGTGTCCATGTTTTCCAATGCATTCCTGAGCTGCTTGAAGTCTGAAGTCTTCTCCTAACCCTTCCGCTGTCAGTTTCCTCAGAGGTGGTTCTTAGTCTTCTGTAGTTTTCTCTTGCTGGTTCTTCAGCTGTATGTTCTCTAGATGCTGGGAATTATTTTGCTCCATTACAATTTCATGGCCACTTTTGGAGAGGAGGTACATGTTGACATACTGACTAAAACATCATTGGCCACTATGTGCCCGGATTTCTTAGAAGCTGTATAATCCTTTTCTGTTTGCATTCCACTAGCTGGAGCCTGGTCTCTCAACTCTGCCTCTCCAGGAGAAAGGCTGGAAATCTAGTGTTCACTTTTAGTTTGTTGACCAGTGAAGGACTCTGCTACTGTTGTTCATGGCCCCCAAACTCATCCAAGGCTGGTCGCTACAATGTTACAGCTTGTTGAGTCTGTGGCTGTCCCCATCCATGGGCTTTGGGGAACGTGTATCTCTAACTTAGCTTCTATGCATGCATTGCTCAGTGTTCCTTCCTCATCCTAGGGAAAAAAGCCAAATGTGATACTTCCCAATTCCAGTGCACAAATGGCCGCTGCATTACTCTGCTGTGGAAATGTGATGGCGATGAAGACTGTGTTGATGGCAGTGATGAGAAGAACTGTGGTAAGTAAAGACTTTGGCATTCTTACTTGTTACCAAGCTTCAATTCTTGAGCGGACTTATGCATTCTATTAAAATGTGCAGATGTTCTTTTAGTTTCTACACATGTATTGAGATTCTGTAAATAAAATCCATTTTAAAGTACTGCTGTCAATCAGAGTCAAATGAATCTATACTGGTCGGGAGGCATATAATTGAATATTTGACATGAGGTAATCAACTTGAATATGGAATGTTGACCACCAAGTGGAATTTCCTTCACATGACAAGACCTGACTTATCTTACCTCAGACAAACATGTGCTATAGAAAGCTTAGAAAGGAAAGAAAAGAACAGATGTAGAAGAAGACAATAGATTGCTTAAAAGTAACTTTATACATTTACAAATGGGGGGATATGTGGAGTGATGTCTTAGTGGTTAAGATTGTGTACAGCTTTTCCAGAGGGCCTGAGTTCCACTTCTACCACCCATACTGGGTAGCTCTCAGCTACCTGTAATTCCAGCTCTAGAGGATCTGACACCCTTACCTGACATCCATGGGTATCCCCTGCGCGCGCGCGCACACACACACACACACACACACACACACACACACACACACACACAACGTACAATTATACAAACACACATGTATACACATAAACGAAATAAATAAATCTTTAAATTCACAAATGGCTCTGATCCAAGAAGATAGCAAGCTATGGACACTACAAAATCCCCTAAAGTTTCAGAAGCTAAATAACTCTGGCATAGAAATAACAAGCCATCTCATGTCCAAGATCAGATAAGGATTCTTCTAATTCTCCACTCACAATACTTGCTTATTCGAAAGCATTGGGCAGGGTAGAAGACATTCTCTTTCCAAATGAATGTGACTGCAACAGCATACCATTGATCAGAAACTATCAAAAGGTCATTGTGAGAAATGCCTGCAGGTATAGGCCCCATAACGTCATGTCACAGAGAATAGCTGAGAACTGCATGTCAAGATCACAAAGACCTGGAATTCTTGCTGACGTTTACTCTTTCATCCCTCTGTTCTGTGTTAGAAAAACCCTAAAGCAGTGGTGAGTGGGGAGATTAGTGTGGCCACTATCATTTGCCTTTTGAAAGATGGTACATGCAATGTGGAGTGCGGAGGTACAAGCATATCCCAGCATGTAGGAAGAGAAGAAAAGTAAAGGCCGTGGAGTTTTATAGACTGCCATGTTCATTATGCCATTACCTGTGTCTTTGTTTATCATCATTTAAATGCTGCAGATATCATCCTAGGGAGCAATACCCAAGGGACTGTGACAGCTCTGGAAGTCCGTTTTGAAAAAGTATACCCCCAGTCTCAAGACCAAGAATAGTCCTCCTGTGCTGTCCTTTTCCATTGTGTGTTTACAGTGGAAAGATTTCAGTCTGCTCCACAAAACACTGAGTTCCCTGCTATTTCTAGGTGGCCCAGAGAATACAGTTTTCTCAATACATATCCTCTAGGAGGACCTCTTTTCAGCTGTTCTCTAGTAGGAAGGGGCAAGGCTACTGAGAATTGGGGAAAAGCCATCCCCCACCAATTTTTATACTTCCTATTATAGACAGTTTTATCATCTAACTCAGCAGAGACACCTGGGACATTGTAGGAGCAGTGACTAGATTTTATTTAAGTCCCTTCTGCATCAATACTGTTTACCAGCCCCATGATAGAAGAATTTGGCCGAGGGAAAGAGGTAGAAGAACAGCATAGTAAATCAAGATCACTTGAGGTGGGATAGATTAAACACATCGATGGGCAGATTTGTTGCTGGATCCCAGGTATGGCAGTAAGCAGAGAAAGTGTGAGCATGCCCAAAGCAGCCTTAAATGTGTGTTTAAAATGGAAAAACTACATATTAAAACTTACAGCCGGGTGGTGGTGGCACATGCCTTTAATCCCAGCACTCGGGAGGCAGAGGCAGGCGGATCTCTATGAGTCTGAGGCCAGCCTGGTCTACAGAGCGAGATCCAGGAAAGGCGCAAAGCTACACAGAGAAACCCTGTCTCGAAAAACCAAAAACAAACAAACAAACAAATAAATAACTTACAAAACCTCCTTCCAACTTCCCCATCTAACCTTTGACCTGTACTTGGTTGTAATTTTTGGGAGTGCTCACTTTCAAGCTTACAGCTAATATAATCAGTTTGACTGTTGATTCCACATCACTTGCTTCTGTGGGTTTCCAAAGTATCTTATGGCTTTCCTCCCCTGTGGAACACTTTCTATCTTTCTGTCAGTGTGTGATTCAAACATCTTTTCTTTGCCCTTATAGTGTACACTCAGAACTGAGAAAGATGAACTCTATGAAGATGTGTCCTTATTTATCTTTGCTCAGACTCTCTGTTGCATTGCTGGTCTTTCATATCATCATGACATTTTCCACTTTGCAAAACCATCTGCTTTCTTTATGGCCATTCCCCTGTTCTCACTTTTGCAAGTTATAGAGGTGATCATGGGTTGAATTCCAGCAACAGGCCCAATAGCCTGGCCTCTGTTTCCATATGGGCCCAGGGGAACACCAGCCTTGGATAGCATTTGCTGTGTTAACACCATATAATGGTGATTTAGAAACAGGGGTGAATTATGAGCTGGCATGGCTTTCCTTGGTTCCTTAGCTATGTAGTTCAAGGATATGCATAATCCCTTAGGATCATAATTCATCAGCCCATGTTGAATGTTACAAACTGACTATCTCCCAAGTTTAAAGGCTGAACAAGAGTAGCCGAAGAGTAAGCCCTTGTCTCCAAGACCTCCACCTAGCTTAAACCCCCGTGCCAAGGGATCTCTGTTAAATTTGCAACATACTTCAGGCTTTTGCTGATTTACAAACACAGAATATTGATTAGACTGATGCTTTAAAATGGAAGTCTAAGCAGAAAGTATAGACATATAGGTATGGAAGAATCCAATCTAAAAAGACTATCACAGGGTGTGGGTGTCTTATCTGGCTGCTTTGGCAAGACTTCCAGATTCTGGGACTCTTTCATGGGTACAGTGACCAAGCTGCTTGATTTGTTTGTCTTTACTTTCCTGGTCTAATTAATGGATGGTATGTTGTATTGTAACTCTAAGTCCTGCCCTAGGAAGAATTAGTAGTAGAATTGATATTTTGCCTTAGGCTATTTGTATGGGAGCTGTGAATTATGGGACTCAGTGCTGGCAGCTTCAGTAACTTTCAGTTGGTTGATGTTAAACCAAACTTTGGCTGGAGGCCTGAAATCTCCTTGAATTCGAAGTTCTACCACTTGTTGTAAATGTTCTAATTGGCATTAAGTTTGTCTAGTGGATGAGTTCCTCTGCCCTGGTCGACCCATTGGAGTGGCAGGATTCAGTTCAGGAGCATCAGCATACCTCTACACTAAGTGCATGCTTTGTGAAGAATGTCCCTGAAATAGTCTTGGTTTACATTGCTTTGACAAAAATACCATAGGTAGGGCAACTTAAATGATGGAAATCTGATGTTAGGGTTCTGGGTATTAGGATGTCCCCAAATTAAGAGGTGGCATATCCGGTGTCTGATAAAAGCCCTCTTTCTGAATTTCGGGTGGCTGTTTTCTTTTCTTTTCTTTTTTTCTTTCTTTTTTTTCATTTTGGTTGTTTTGTTCTGTTTTTGGGTTTTTTTGGGGGAGGGGGGTTGAGACAGGGTTTCTCTGTGTAACAGTCCTGGCTGTCTGTAGACCAGGCTGACCTCAAACTCACTGAGATCTGCCTGCCTGTGCCTCTGCCTCCCAATTGCTAGAATTAAAGGTGTGTGCCACCACCTCCTGGCAATGGCTATTTTCTTACTGTGTCCTCCCATGGTAGAGGAGAAGGAAGAAAGAGGGAGAGGGAGAGGGAGAGAGGGAGAGAGGGAGAGAGGGAGAGAGGGA